TATATATATATATATATATATTCCTCCTCAAAACAGGAATTTCAATGCAGAGCACATGTTTGGTGGGTGACTAAGAGGAGAAAAAATTATTCCAAGCAGAGGCAGGGAAGTTTGGTGAGACAGGAGAAGGGGTCTCAGAGACAAATGCCAGGGCTGTGGGAGGCACAGCTATGATGGAGGCCTTGGGGGCAGATTTTCTGTGGAATCTGAGCCTGTCCTACTTATATTCAAGAAACAGCAACTTTCTATTGTCAGCAATATGAAAATTTAGTTGGTAATGGGTACCTTAGCTTTGAACTGTAGGCTGGCTCAATGTTTCATTTGCTGCTTGTATCTCCCACTTTTGTACAAGTAAAGCTAAATTCAATTAAGAAATGAGAATAATCCAGTCCTGCAAGTAGTTTTAAAATATTTCTGTTGTGAATGTTTGCTATAAATCTTAATCCTTTCCACAGGAAAGAAATAGATCAGCAAGTAGCAAGATTTTGTATGTTCACCTGCCGGATTATTTATGTTGAGAAAACCTAATTATCCTTGTTTTCCCACAAATAGAAGTTGGCTGGTTCCCAATAGTCTCCTGCCACCAAATCATTTGACAAGAATTTTGTTTAAGTTTTCCTAAAGATGACTGGCAGAAAGATTATGTTCAAGCATTTAATCCAAATTTTCAGAAGCCACACAGGAATGAGTAATTATATCAGTTTAATACCCATATATTTGTTGAACATTGAAAAGTAACCATCTCTAAATTTCCAGATAAAACAGTTATATTGGCATCTTATGGCAAGATTCGGGAATCCAAGACTGCTGAGAGACATTTGAGACAGAAGGATCTTACCTTGCAGAAATATGTTCTTTTAGCTGCAGAATGCTCGCCACATTTATCAGGAGGTATTGTGCTTCATTCACAAGAGAGAGTGAGATGTTTGTAGCAGATGCCAGACCTAAAAAAATGAATCCAACATTCTAACATGATTGTTAAAAATCAGGAAGATTATACTACTACTTTCACCTCATCTCCTTTGACCACTTAGTCATTCTCATTAAAAAATTATTCATTCGGCTCCAGACACTAAGGAAAGATTCCAAGAATCCCCTCAAACCTGTAAATGATAATGATGCAATGCATTTAGAAACTGAGATAGAGCTGAGATTTTACCAAATTTGTAAAACAATTTACAAGAGCAATATCTATGGATTTTTGATGCTCTTTCCATTTGATCCTTTTTTATAATGAAACTTAGTCTAAGAATAAATTCTTTGTTTATAGATTTTTCATGATCATTTTTCAAAATGATCATTGAGTTTCCAGACAAAATCATGGTCATAATGATAAAAAAACCCCAGATTGGTGTATCTGTACATTTTCACCAAATGTAACAAGTAGAAGGGCAGCATAAAGATAGTTTGGGTATAAATATACCCTTTGAACCCTACTAGATCTGTACTGAATGACTCCTTCACCCTTTATCAGGGTAATTATATAGTCAGTATGAAGTGCACGAGCCTGATGTTTACTAAGTGAGGAATCACAAATATTTTTAAGGATGACAACATACCTTTTGCATTTTTCTGATGTGACCCGTTTTTCATGTCTGAGCTTTGTCTTATCAAGCGACATGGACGACCAAGAAACAAAGAGAACCAGTCAGCAAGTCTTTCTCCACAGTCATACGTTTTTACCCTGTTATGAGAGAAGAGGGACTTAGCAGAATTTCATTGCCCAAACATTAATTTGCAAAACTGAAGACGAATTACAAAGATGTTTATTCTCCTTCCTCCAATACAAAATACAAAATCTGTATTCTCTGATGAGTGATAAAGCAGATATGTGAATTTCTGCATAATTTTATCTCCCAATTTCCTCAACTTTGCTCTGTTAGTCTTGAAGTTAATATTCACGGGATCTAATTTAGTTTTATACAGAAAATTACTGTGGAATAAAGGATTAAATAATTGTAACTGGTACCCCATATTACAAAGTACAATACGGTATTATGAAAAAGTTATTCTCTGGTCTGTGCTTTTTACTAAACCAAAGAGGATTAATCTGAGTTGAATTTAAGATTGCCCCACTGTGCCACACTGTATTTAATTTTTAATGATCCCATCAGGTACAATGATGTTACTTCCCTAATTTAATTCATGTTAGTACACACATTCCACATTAAAACTATGGCTCCACTAGCAGAGCCCAAGTATCTCTCTATCTAAAGATGGTTTCCATTACTAGTAAACTGTCTAGTGAGTTATGCAATTTAGCTTCTTTACCTGGATATAACCTTTCCTAAAAGGATCCTGAGATCACCTCTCTTTGTTCAGGAAGGGCACAGATCAGACCACTGGGAAGTGATCCTATTTGCCATTAGATTCCTCAGCCCTGAGTAATCTTAACTTCAATATTAAATTATTTATCTGGGTTCCCCTCACAGGTAACAGAAAGCCCTAAGTAGTTCCCATCTGTATTAGACCTCAGGATGGGATGACTCTTACTCAGGGAGTATTTAACTCTCTTTATTGACTACAAAGGGAGATTTGACTGACATCTAACTTTTAAATGGCATAAACAGATAAGAGAAATGCAAATTCTCATGCTGATCTAGGCAGGGTTCTTGTAGTAAGGAAAGCGAGGTAGCAGTGGTCCTATGCTCACTTTTTTGTCCTATCCAGCCAAAGAAGCTGATCTGCATGAAGACCACCTGCTCCGTGAAACAAGAAAACAGCTCCTCAGAGCAAAAGCCGCTAAGCCCTAGGATTGAGAGAAGCAGCTTGCCTTTACGAAATGCTTTGTAGGTTCAGCTGAATTACACAGGTAGAAAGCCAGGACAAGTGAAATCAAAGAGATTTTATAATCCGGCAAGGATCAGATATCTCTTCAGCGATTGTTCTGAATTTTGACTGTGGTGCAGCTCTGCATCCCTCTCCCCACTCTGAGACTGGACTGATGCCAACCACAGCTGCATCTAGCCAGCAATGTCCTAGAGCTGAAATGAAACTGGTATTATGAGATGCAGGCACTGTGGAACGAAACAGGGGCCAAAAGGTGAGACTTCACATGAGATTCTACAGTCTGAGCTGAGCAGTCTTGTGTCCTTGCTGGTCTCTGTGTTAGGGAGAAGGCTGCTAATGAGAAGGCATGAATCTTCCATGGTAACAGTATAGGCGAAACAAATTCCCCAAATATTTTTTCCCACCCAAACAGAGGTGTTAGGGGCATTTAAATTCTCTCCTGAGGCAATTACCTCTAGCAGCCTGATACTTTATAAATCAGAATCAAAGTTTTGCCCTCTTTTTTTATTTGCTTACCATTTTGAGTCACAGTGGCTGAATTAGAGACACACAGCAGTCCTAGTATTTCATCAGATGTCACTGTGTAGTTTTTGTATTCCAAGACTCCTATGTTTTCAAATCGCTTTCCCTTATCCTCAGACCATTTTCTGAGCAAGTACCATCAAGGTCTTATTCAAAGTCCTTCTGTTGTAGCTCAATTCTGCTCATTTTCTGCTTATGTTTATTTTTGTTGAGTATTACTTTACTCCTGTCAGCATTACATTTCATTTGGCACATGTCAGGCAATTTATAAAGGAGGGCCTAGTTCTCTCAGATTTTACTTGCTGTTTGCCTTGAGTTCCCCACTTATCTTCTTACTATGTCATTTAGCTTCAGTGCGTTACAGCTGGTCCCTCTAGCTAGGTAATTTATAGAACAAGAAACAAGGACAGTTGAAGTCTGAATATTGATCCCAAGAGACATAATACATACATTTACGCACAGCAGGCTCAGTTCACCTTGTTTTTAACTATGCCTTTGTTGTCTTCTACCACTGATACCCTTCCTTTGATCTCTTTGATATTGTGGCCTGTCAAAGAGGAGGCTGTAGAGTAGAGTAGAGCACTCAGTAGAGCACTAACCTTGAGCATTTAGGGTCTTCTACAACATCAATAACCTTAACATCACTAGCTTCTACTTGCATCTGTCCATTGTTAGATAGATTTCTAGAAAGCCATGTCCCTCAGATGTGAGCAGCATGTGCTGATGGACAACCCCTGCTGAGATGAAGGCTAACACTGATAAATTGCTTCACAAGGGAAACTTGGGCTCATTAAACTTTCGTGGCTGCTGTGAAATTAAACTTCCTAACACGACTGTTTGCAGATTCTAAATCATGCGCTTTCCCCAGCCAACTCAGTGTAAATTCAGAGTAACTGCCTAAGCCAACACAACTGGATGAAATCACAGTGTCAGAGAGCAGAATTAATAAGCGGAAAATGCTTTCAGTAGGGGTTTCTTTTGAATAAAAGCCTTTTAACAAAGACTTTTGGTCCCACTGCTCACCTCAGCCATTTCGCAGAAAAGACCCCAGACCACAAATTAACTCCTGTCCTCCTGCAAAGCACTGTTTTGCTCTTATTTCCATTTTTTGGCCCCGGAGGCTCCCCTGCTAAAACACGGGAACCTGGCATCAGCGCTGTTGGATCTCTGAGCAGTTTGGGAGCCTCGTCAACGTTGTCCACTCAGTCTGCCTTACTTTCTGCCTTGTTTATTTGCTAATCACAGCCCACTGTGCAATTTGTCTTGCATCTCCCCTTTCTTTGTCATTCCATCCTTTTCTTCCTGCTCAGAACTTGAAGCAGTTTCCCATGAAAATTTCCTATTTCATACATTAAAAATGACACAGTCAGTGACATGAAAGACAAGCTACAATAAATAGTATGGCAGCCAATTATATGCACACAGACAGACAGATAACCTAAGCTGTTTTACAGCCTGTAATAGATGGGCTAACCATAGGGAGGCTAAGGATGAGTCAACGCTAAGGGAAGTGGGACAGATGGTTAAAACAAATGACTCGTGCGTAAATTCCACTACCTGAGGAAAATAAACTTTTGAGAAAAAGATCCTCTTATCATCTGAATAGCTAGTAGAAAAGAAGAAGATAATTTCCTGCATGGCTCCATGGGGAAAATGGCCAGGTCTTCTGCTGGTTTGTTTATGTGCTACCCTCAGAGACGCAAATGTAGAGCGTTACAAAGAATTAGTATACCTTGGTTAAAAGAAGACAGAAATCTGTAAGTGGCTCTTTCAGTTGGACTTACCAAGAGACTCAGTGAAAAGAAACATAGCAGATAATGCAAATGTACTTTAGGAAGGCACTTGATACACTGCTACTCAGAAAACTTAATGAGATTGGGAAGTACTTAGAAAATATGCTGGATAAACACTTAAGTTCACTGATAGGAAATTAATTTATGCATAATGTTATATTTCACTGAAGTGGTATGTCTCTTGATTGGAGTTAATGTTATTTCACATACTCACCTGCAATCTTCCCAAGATTGTTAAGGGGACACTGATCAACATGGGTGGTCAAAACAAAATTAAAAAGGGTTGTAAATATGGAAAGCTGTTTATAACCTCAGCGGCTTCTAGCAATTTTGAATTTGCACAGCATGAAATGGGCAAAGTTGCCAGCATCATTACTGTCAAAAGAAGGAACTTAATTCTAAGGTCCTGCTGAGGCCCCCAGTTGGCATTTGGAAGTAACTGGGGACACCATTCCCTTTTCTTATCCTTGTGGCAAGTAAAACAAAGATCTCCCTTATTCAAGTGAGTGCCAAGTCATCACAGTCAGGAGACTGTGAGGAGACAGGAGACAGTCCTTCCCCTCCTTTTTAATTTTTATTATTTTTTAGTGTTTTCTACCAGACATGCTGGGCATGCCAAATTACCTATCTAAATCCGTCTTCTCCTGGTACACTAAGTCATTCATTGCTTTCTACCCTCCCCCTCTTTTTTCAAGGACTTCTGCCCCTGTGTGTCAATCCAATCATGTCCTGAGTGTCATTGCAGTGATTTTCAGCTTTGATTCCTCTCTGCTCTCACTCACCTGTGTGAACAGACTTTACTCTCACAGATCACAGCTTCTTTTCCAGTATTTTCTTCTAGTGATACAGATATTGGGTCCATGCCTAGATGGGCAGAGAGCAAACCATATTAAAAAAAAAACATTTATGCAGAAATATAGGTTTAGGAAAAAAAGTTCTTATTTTTGCACCTGTTCAGAATCACAGCAGCCTCCCAAATAGCATGCGACAAAAATCCTCTTTGTTTTTGCTAGAATTATATTCTCTGCCTGCAGGTGGCTCCAAATGATAATGCAAAGAGCGAAGTCTGCAGATGACCTTGGTACCCAAACCACATTAAGGAATATACAATTTCAGCTTTGAGTAACTGTGCCTCTCAGGCAACGAAACTGGCACAGAATTACTGCTCAGTCATGGTTTCTGTTGAAAGGATGAGTTTATCACTGTTGTGCTCCCTCTAGCAAATCAGGAGATGAAGTTAATCAATGTCAGGTTGGGTGTTTTGGGAGTGGTGGGATGGAGTGATCAGAAAGGTGAAAAATGAAGGATGGAGCGGGGTGGGGGGGGCGAATAAGCACAGGCTGTTCAAGTGAAGAAATATAATGTGTCATAAAACTACAATAATTTAAAGATAAAATGTATGGAAGCCACTAATGAGAGAATTATTCCCATCTATCCATCTTTAAGTTTAAACCAGATGAGGAATCCCTGGTAATGATCTACGTTAACAGTTTCTTCCATAGTTTTCTTATCTTGAACAGAATGAGCCAGAGATGGAAAGGCTACTGTGGCTTGCTAGAACTAAAAGAAAAGCTGTACTATTTTCCCTTCTGTTCATTGAAAGCAATAATCTGAAACAACAAACAAAGGGTTTTACTGTGTGGCTGCAATGAATCCAACTCTTTTCCATTATACTGCAACATAAACCAGCAAAGAGTGATCTCCTGTACCCCCGCTTTGTATCAGCATGTTTCAATTTCACTCATTACTTCCTGTTTATATTACTGCAGTACAAATAAGAATCAAGCTCTACCAGCTCTGTGATATGGTGAAATCAAATTGTTTTATTCTCTTCTGAAGAATAATGAAATGTAGTTCAGATTCACTATATCACAACTAACAGCTCTGTTCCATGCAAGTTTTCAATACAGAAAGATGTCTACTCCTTTTTTAGCTAATGATGTTAGTATACTTCAGAAGCAAAGACAGAGGAGGAAAAGCTAGGTTCACTTAGGAAAATAAAACACATAAATAATAAATGCATTGAACTTGCTTGCAACAACCTGAAAAAGAAGCCAATGTTAACATCTTATAAACTAGAACTAATGCTCTTGTACTTTGAAATAATTAAACATCAGTATCATTCCTTCTGGAAAAGAACAGTTTGAAAGGTTTCGTCCTGTATGCATCCTTAGCTGTTCTGTCTTTTAAAAATACTTTCTAAGCAAGGCATACTCACAACATTTCTTAAAATAGAGTCTCAGGGCTTTAAAAAGCCCTGCTTTTATACACTAGCAAGTGTATCACATTTTTATTGAATAGTACACATTTTACAGTGATGTTTAGGTCAGTTAAACATTGTTAATTACAATTTTATTCTATCTTAAGGCAAAAAAAATAAAGCAGAATATTGCCAGTTACTAAAATGTAAAAGCTGTCATTCTCCATGGTCATTTGCTTGATAATAAAATTCACAGATGTGCTCACAGTATTAATATAAAAAAAATTATTCTTGTCTTTATAGCTCCTATTTTCAGTCAATGAGAAAAATTAGAGATCTGTTATTTCAATAGACTGAAATATAAACTATTCATGTATATTCTTTCGTCAGTGTATGCACTTAATTCCCATTATTTTTATTGGCACTAACACATGACTATTTGAAGGCACAATAAACTCCGTAAAGTGTAATTAGTTGCTCAGTTTTTCTAGTTTCTTTCTACTCCAATACTTTAAAGGGCCTTCATAACACTCAAAATCTCCCTCTCTGTGCAGTGGCAAACCAATGCCTAACTTGCCAGAGTAATGCTGATTGTTAGCTAAAATGGAAAGAGAGAAATTAGTCTTCTACAGAAACGTATTCTCAGCTAAATTCTGTTTGGCTTGCTTTTATGTCAGTCAGGAACAAGCCCAGTGTAATCTGTGCCCCCATGTATTTGTTGAAGCAGGACAACAAGATTTCCCTTGATTCCCACTCAAGTAATACAGCTTCTAGAAATAAAGGCACTTGCTCCTGCCCACCTTTAAGTTGCTGGGAGCCTAACCATTAAGTGCTTTGGTCAAGACAGAAGAAGTTGTCTTTCTCCACAGGGGCTTATTTAAAGTTACACTGATTTTCTCAAAGTGGGTCCTGTGATAGCAAGGGTTAGACTCTTCACGTCAAAAAAAATAGGAAATGCCTGTTAACAACCACATAGCTTAAGAAAATAATTCTGACAAAATTCAGAAATGAAGTTTTGCAAAATTAAAATCTCACTCCCTCCACCGAAGTAAAGTACAGCCAATGAGAGACCAAGCACAAGCCCTTCCTCTCCCTCTGCTCTCACTTACCCCCTTCCTCAGGGATCAGTGGAATACCTGGAGCTCCCTGGCTGCCGTGCAAGCCAACTAATTTTGCAGGCATGCTAAGGGAAGGGTCCTAAGCCTTTGAGCAGTTTTGGCCTTGTCTACAGCCCCACTCTGATGTCCTTGCTACCCATAGGGATGGCAGGACCGCACAGCCGGGTCAGTCAGACAGCGGGTCTGCCCATCCAAGGCTGGTTTTCAGACGGGCTACGGAGACACACTACTCACAGGGATTAAAGAAAGAACATGAAGCGGTGTCTCAGCACAGAGAGGATTCAGCAAAAGGTATTAAAGTAGTTACTGTCACACTAAATCATGCTGACAGTTTTATTTTGTTGGACAGAGACGACAGAGAATATTAAGCCACATTGAAATAAAATAGCCATAAACAAATTTTCCACTAATGAAAAGTTCTAGAGGGAGAGGAAAGCACGTGCCTGGAGGCGGGGAGAGAGAACAGGCTCATTATGTTTTAAAAGCGGCACAGATAAAGTCTTCACCATAATCTAACAGTGTAACAGCAAAATGTTCTTTAAGAATGCCGCATAATTCAGCTATGTGGGATTTGCCCCACTGGGCTTTAGGCACTTACCAGAGGCACCTAATCCAGCAGCACAGTTGCCTTAGGCTCTCTCTATTGGAGAGAGACACCTCCAGACAGCAAAGCGCGCTCTAGTTGGAGATGATTGCCACAGCCTGCTCTCACAATGAGAAAAGCACAGATGACAGCGGAGAAACTGGTAGAGAAAGCAGAGTGGTTACAGCCTCCTCGCAGAGGAGCAGGAGGAAGGCAGCTAGCTTGACTGCAGTTGTCACCTGGTCAGCTGGGAGCTGCTGGGTTTTCATGTTCGGCAGAGCAAGAGGTGCAGTAAAGGTGCAGCTCAAAGGTTTTGCCTCTCTTTTTTCATCGCTGTCGCCTCCCTCACCCACTCCTCACCACCAGAAATGTCCCCATCACACCGAGAAAAACAGAGGAACTGCACGGGGAGTGAGGGCAGGGGGAGGAGAGGGGGAGTTGGAGGAAACAAAACTCCTCTTGGAAAGATGCATGCTACTGTAGCTGAGGAAAGGCAGTCTGGGTGGGAGGCATCCAGTGGGAGAAAGAAACTCGCAAAGCAACAAAGTTGGAAGAGACCTGGAGGTGGCTGTAGTCAGCAGGCTAAGTGCTACGAATCTGAAATACCATTAGCCACAGATGTAGGCCAGTGAAGGCTCTGAGCTGCACAACAGCCAGCCTGGCTCATCAGAGGGCTTACTGCTCCTCACTGCACTGATTGCTGCTCCAGCTACACACGTCGTGTTCAGCTTCAGGTCCTACCTTAGCAACAAACTACTGACAGGCTGGAGAGAGTGGTGACAAAAGCAACAGTGATTAAGATGGGATTTTCAAGGAAAGAGTCAACTTATTAAATTATTTGTCTGCCATGAAATGATGATATAACAATGACCCACGTATGTGAAGGGATAAAAGAAAAAACTAAAAATTTAACACCAACAAACAAATCATGCATTTAGACTTCAGGTAAGAGGAAAGAAAACAGAATAAATATTGAAATAACTTTCTACAGATTTACCTGCTCAGTCTTACCCTGTCAGTTCATACGCGTTCTCATCACTGTGCTATTTTATGAGCAGTAACCTCTGGAATAGTCTCCCCAAGGAAATGAGAGCCATTACCTCACTGTCAAGCATTAAAAAAATACCACAGATTGCAAGTACAGTATGAGAGTGAAAAATAGCAGGACTGTTATAAAAAGAGGGCCCAGACCACCTTATGGGCTAAGATTATTGGTATCTAGAGTCATTATACAAAGAATAAAATGACTCCACTCTTACATACTGGCTGTACCAATGCAGGCTATAAATAAATGCCAACCATGTTTCTGTTAGAGCACATGGAGATCTGATTGATCACTTTGGGGCAGAAAAGTGATCCACAGACTTGGTCAATCACTTCTGGAAGGAAATTTCTCACTTTCATAGGAAGGAAGGTGAATGACAGTGAAAACTCAAAAAATGACACAAAGTAAAATGTAGGATTTAAAGGTTCACCCTGGCACTAACTATGACAAGAGATTGTACATCTCAGTGAGAACTCTGTTCCCTGACTGTCACTTCCGTCTAAGAAAACTTTTTCCTGACTCTCTGAAGTATGTCAGTGCAGCTATTGACAGGCAAATATACTAATGGATAAGCACTTGTCTGAACAATGTGGTACAAGCAAGGAAAAAAATTAAGAACATACTTAGAAGAGCAATCAAAAGGCCCAACAGAGGTGAACCTCTGGAAATGTGAAGGCTAAATGGAGAACATTTGGACAAGACTTCACATTGTGTCTGCAACCAAGAGGTACCAGCAGAAAGGAAGAGAGATGGAAAGGAACCGAATTTCTAGAAATAATTAGCTCTGAAGCACTTGAGAATTTAAAAGTTGTGGGAGTGTCTATGTAACTGTACTACAAAAATTTGAGTTGCAAGGTGCTCCACATAGAATTGACATGAATTAATCATACCTTTTCAAAGAAAGATTACAAAGGGAAGAGTGGAAAATAGCAGCGTTTGTGCCAATGAGGCAGGCTGGAATGCCTAAGAAGACATTAGATTGTGTTTGGGATCTGAAATACAAAATCACACAAGACTAGTGGAAGTACCCAAATGTACATTTAACAAACCTATTCCAGATAAAAGAAATCAAATGGTCAGATTTAATTTTATGGAGAGTGCTCAGACATCTGGAGAGGACAACAACTGTAATGTATAAACAGAAAGGAGACTGTAGTTACAGATCCACTTACATGGATTTCTAATAAAGGGTGAAAAATCTGAATATAGGTTCTCTTGTTTTCCTCTAGCTGCTGAAAATGTGGGCACATATATTATTAATGGTTAAGACATACAGGCTGAGTAAATGTTAGACCCCAGGGAAATGATTAACACCATTCATACACATGCAAACTTGGCATTAATAATTACTTTTGTGGAAAACAAACCTGTTCCAGCGTTCAGTGCTAACAGTACTGTTAGCAAAATAAATAATTTGCACCCCCAAGTAGCAAAGGGCTTTGTGTAATACTTTCCATAAGGTTTTTTTTCTTTTTTTTCCCCTCAGCAGAGAATAAAAAGGGTTCTGATGAATCCAGAGAAGCCCAAACATCATGAAATATTTGCCTGCTAGTGCAAGTATCTAACTAAGCTAAATAATGTCTGGTCTTTATTTTAATTCATACTAATTTCCACTGAAGACTCTACCCCTCTAGTTCCACAACTGGAAGGAGGAGGAGAGCTATAAAATGGAAAGGTCTTTGGCCAGGGTGTTTGATGTTAGACTCCTATTCCTTTACCCTTACAGCAATAACAGTCGCTTCAGGCTGATGTAGTCCATGATGTGGAGAGCTAGACTAGTCAGTAAATTTCCGTATCTGTCAATTCATTATTCTTTCCTGGAGCATCCACTTTATGATTGCACATAGGAGTCACTGTCTACTCTCTGCCCGTCCTAACAACAAGCTAGGAAACTGCCCATAGCTGTTTAATACAGCCTAGGCTTTCTTTGCCCACAGCTGGTAGCAGAATTTGTCCCTGAAGTATGTAAGAATACACAGCATTCAGTAGTTTGGTGGGTGCATGCAAGTGTCTCTGTCTAGAAGCTTGACACGGATAATGAAAAGGAGAGAAGGATATTGGTTACTAACCTTCTGCCTGGATGACCATAACTTTTTTCTTCAGATCAATTGAGGGATTTACAAGACACAACCTTGGCTCCTGCTTCTGAGTCACGCAGACTCCATTCTGGTTTACAACCATCCAGTTACGGTCATACAGCAAACCCTGGTTTCCCACTGGCCATTCTGTGACCTGGAAAAGCACCAGAAAGGGATACAAAGGTTTAGAAAATGTTAGCTGCAATACTAGATTCACGCTGAAAAGAGAGGGAAAAGAAACCATTAATGAAATACTTTGAAATCAGGAAAACTTGTGCAAGCCAATGTCAGCCTTTAATAAGACAAACCTTAATTGCAAATCAAAGATAAAGATATCACTGCACAAAGCTGACAAATCAAAATGGAGTTACTATAATTTGTTACATATTATCATATACTTTGATTTAACAGAACTATGAGAATAGAGTAAACAACCTCTGAAACACTTTGAAAATTGCTTTTAGTCTTACACTCATCCACTTTCAGGACCTTTCCTTCCAACAATTTTCTTTTAATTTACAAAGCATGGACATTTCACGGGAGTTGTATGAATTAAAGCAAAACCAACCAAACAAAAAGCAAGAAAAAAGTGAAATTCAAAATTAGGAAAAAACTTCCATATTTGTTATAAAACTAGAACCACTTTATCAATGAATCCATTTGAAAAAAGCTCCACCACTGAGGTTTCTGGTTTAGCTAGGATCATGATAGTTTCTCCAGATCCCCTTACAACAAAACACATTGTCTTCTTTGCAGTCTGTTCTTCCATTACTTCTATAACACTCTTTACATTCAATAGCCTATACAAGCATATTGTCCTTGCTTTCATGTACATTTTTCTGGTGAAAAGAACATCTGTTACTGATGCTACACAGATGGTAATCTTGAAATCCAAAAAGAAAGCAATTTTAGTAATGCCTTTGGGTGATATTAATAACTGCTTTCTCCTTCAGAATGTTAAAATATTAATACCATTCTTTTAACATAAAGCTGGGCATTTAAACATACTGCTTCAACTCATGTATGCTTTCTATCACAGTTGAGTACAGAGAAAAGTTAACTACAGCTGAACTTTGTTGAATTCTTGTACAGAAGCTTAGCACAGCTCACATGAATTAACTGGCAAAAGACTTTAGCAAAAAGTATTGAGAAAAAGATATGTCAGGCACAGCCTGATGCTCTGAAGAAAAGCATGGCTGCACGCACTGGTTAGATTAATTAAAAATCACATTTTTGTTTAGCATGTGCTTTATCCAAAACCCCACAGAACCACAATATCCCATTCTTATAAACTTTTCCAGGTTCTATAGGAGCCTGCAGCAGTACCTTGACACTGATGGCCTGACTAGAAAAAGCTGAGGGCAGGCACTCTGAAACTGGAAACTTAAAGCATTAAAGCTGAACTCTGAATAATTTGGCCACAGTGCTATCAACCGTATTGAATACAGGCAATACATGGAAAAATTTTAAAGATAAGAAATGTATTTTATCAACCTACTTGATCTATAATATTCCTTGGCAGCTTTTTAAGTGAGCATGGATGAAAAATTCAGTCAAAAATGGAAACTTTATATCTGACAGTGTCATCTGAAACCACGTTGTCCAAGCACCTCAAACTGTCAGCACGTAAATGATGTGAACTTTCGCAGTCTTTTTAGGAGAGGAATCATAGCCCAAAGACCGCAATACTGGCTGAAGAACAGACTTTTGTCCTTGCTGGAAATTATTCTTTGGAGAGGCCAGTATTTTTTTGTTATCCTGTATAATTAAATTACAAAATGCATTTGAACAGCTGGTGATCACCTGAGAGCTGCAAGAATTTCCTACTAACAAATCTCCCTTCCAAAACAGAAGATCACTAACTGGTAATACATCCTCCCATGGATCCAACAGATCTTTACAGGATTTGCAAGACATAATGAACAGAATAAACTAAAAGAGCAGAAAAATAGAAAAAGAGCATGAAGACAATGATTCCTAGCTCCCTATTGTAACATTCAGTTGTTTTGGTTCCACTTCAGGACAGCAATCTTACTCAGGAAATAGCTTAAGTGTTTGCTTACCCTTCACCAAAGGTAAGAGGTTTTATGAGCAAAACAAAACATATTCTCTTTAATCAGAGCTTCAGCTAATTCTTACATGCTGATAGGCATTGTGGGGAAAGCTTAGCTGACTAGGTAGCAGATACTTGGAAATAATCAACGCCTTCCATTCAAAATACCCCTAGTAGGTCCAAAATAATGGCAAGTAACTCCATGCTCCACTCTGAGATGCAGCACGTGACTACAGGTCCTCAGCCCATTTCTCCCCTTCCTCTGGGTATTTGTCATTGTAACAAGAATCATACATACTCATGCCCAGCAGTGAGACCCTGTCCTCTCATGGATGTCCCACACACACTGTCAAGTGCCCTACTTGCTCTCCACTTTTCAACTTACTGTATTGCATATGTTGCTAGGACCCCAATAAATAAAGTTGCAACAACAAAATAACTGCGTACCCTGCCTTGGACAGAGAGTCACAGACAGTCATGAAACAGTCAGAGCTGGTTTGTTGCTAATACCGATACTGGAGATGAGCATGGAAGAATATACACATTTCTATTCTTAGTACTTAGGCATGCGACCTGTGCAGACCATCTCCCGCCATTATTTCAAAGAGGCTGAAGGGATTGCAAGCAACTGAATTAGAGCAGTTCAAGCAAATTCTGCCTGCTCTGCTTTCATCTGAGACACGAGAAGAGTGGCTCAATTTGCCTCCCTTGGATTACATCTGAGATGTCTGCCCAAGGCTAGCAGAAATGACAGAGGCTGCAAAGATGATCCACATCCCAGTGGAGCAGCAGCAAGAGGTCAGTCAGGGCACTCAAATGTCACTAAATACCTATGTTCAGGCAACCAATACAGCAAAGCAAAGCAACCAATGAAGCTTACTGCCAAGTAAAATGAAACAGGTTAGTGTACATTGCAGTAAGCAATACTTAGCTTCTAACTTGATTCCCTGAAGTTGCCTGGCCATCTCTGACTACTGAGACAAATTAGAAGGGGAGGACAGAAAGAAATCAGGGACACCATGATTTTACTGATAGATGCTAACATACGCCTTCATTCCCAGCATGGCAGGTGGGCTAACCATACAACATAAGGTCTTCTCTACCTGTCATAAGCAAGGATCATTGTATAGTACAGCCAGTATATGGTTTTAGCCTACCTACTTTAGTCCATTTTTCTTCTTGTAATGTAAAAATATTCATTGCAAAAGCATGTTTTTGTTTTTTTCAGAATCTTCTTTAAAACATTTTGGACTGTATTTTTCCATAGTTCACAGCAATGTCAGCATGAAGGCTAACACAATTTTTGAACACATTAAAGGAATCACCGAATAGGGTTTAAATTATGCAAGTTTAAAGATGTTACTGGTCTTACATATAATTTATCCACTAATCACTAGGAATTTGCATTGTATTTTAAATTAAAAGCTAATTTGTCTTCTGCGTTGAGATGCAATTTTTATACTCTGAAATCTACTGCACGAATAATAAAGTTATTAATGTTTAAAGTCCTAACCTTTTTCACTGGGCACACTGCATTATGTAATTATGCAAAACTCATCGACATGAGAGATGTTCATGTTTAAAAATGCATGTTTAAACACATTTTTATGTTGGGAAAGAAGAAAAAAAGTGATCTGGGATAGAGGTTACTCTTCCCTGCTTCTCCCCATTTAATAAAACAATTGTAGGGAA